CGATGGGGCGCGTCCACCTGTACGATGGGGCGCGTCCTCCTGTACGATCGGTCGTGTCCTCCTGTACGATGCGGCGTGTCCTCCTGTACGATCGGTCGTGTCCTCCTGTACGATGGGGCGTGTCCTCCTGTACGATGGGGCGTGTCTTGCACACATCTATTGAAGCCTGTCTTCCTGCTGTCAGTTTAAACCTGAGGATGACTCGTCTTCATGGTTTTGGTCAAAGACATGGAGGGCCACGTGTGGCTCCAGAGCCACAGGTTGCAGACCTCTGACCTGAGCTGTTCTCATGTTTGCTCCTCAGAACCCCATCGGTCGCATCAACCTGACCAGCTGCTCCAGTAAGAAGGTGGAAGCAGCCAACAGAGAGTTCTGRGCCCGACCCAACACCATGGAGCTGGTCACAGTCAGACCTCAGAGAGAGGACGACCGGGAGACACTGGTCAGTCTCTGCAGGGACACYGTGTGTGTCACCAGGTAGGTGCGCCCACAGCTCCCTGCTCTGTGTCTGTGTGGAAACATGTCAGCCACATGTGGACTGGTCTGTGCAGGAACTGGCTGAGTGCCGACACCAAGGAGGAGAGGAACATGTGGATGCAGAAACTCAACCAGATCCTGGTGGACCTGCGGATGTGGCAGCCAGAGACCTGCTGTAAGCCCCTGTAACCGCAGCGCTCAGTCCCAGGACTTTTCTAAGTGCAATACAGGCTGACCCATCTTATTTTACCCTAAATAAGATCTAGAGCATAAAGCCATATTTTACAGGCCCTTCACTTCAGTGTGTTTTCAGTTGCTCCTTGCTGATGTGTGAAAGGACCACCTTCTGCAGCTGGTTTCTGTGCTGAAAGCAGTTTATAAATTATGCTGAAATCTGGGATGAAGAGTTTTAATGTTTTTATTTTGCATGGCTGCACAAACCAATAGCAATGCTTTCAGCTAGTTTGTATTTTATATATTAACTTTTCTAACTTGTGTTAATCTTTTGTTATTATTTATCCTCTGAACTTTATTTGAACTGAAATGTTTTAGAGAAATTCTGTTACGTGCTCTGATATCTGACACACTAATCTGATAGTTGCTCAGTCCTTTTTATTTTCAGTACACTTTAATGAAAACAGGACAAATAAACCGAGACAAGTCTTTGGGTACAAGTTGCTTTCAAAATAAAAGCCTTCTGTAAGTCAGAGTATGTAACAGGCTGGTTATTGCACCTGGTTTGTTCAAAGATGGAGCTCTTTGTGGAAAATACATTTTTCTTCCTGCAGTTCTTGTCAGCTCTCTCTGGTGGTCTGAGGAGAATCCTGTCGGACCACCAGGAGTATCACAGTACTGTTCAGTGATACTACAGTCTGTGTACTCAGCCAGTCCTTTCATGGAAGCAGAAATTGTGTAAAAGATTTCCAGTTAAATGATTTAAAGCAGCTGATGTTTTCAAACTGTACTCATCAGTATTTTATTTTGACAATAAAGAGTATAATTTGTTCCCCAATTCTTTTCATTTAATCTTTATTTATGTAGAGACAAATGTCAAGTATTAACAAATACTGTACACTAAAACTGCTACTTCCTGGATGGACCTTGAGCTACATAAAAACAAACCCGGAGGATAAAATGACTCAACACTTGAACCTTGTCGGCTTGTTCCTCAAACATTTTCTTCTTGATCCTGGTCCTGAACCAGAACCAGGATCTGACCTGGGCTCTGATTCAAAGAGAGAAGAGGTGAACCAGCGGGTCGTGAGGCTGACGTTTGGGCAGAGTTTTTCTTTTTTTCCCAGTTTAAAAATGAGTTACCCACAAAAAGAACTAATAAATTACAGAGCTCTAAGGTTCAGGAAACATTTAATTGTCCGTCCTSGCTGTTGATTTCCCTCAGGCTCTGAAGCAGAAACAGCCACAGTTCATTCTGTCGGTTTAATTGTGGATCTTTGAACAGATTCTTCTGTCGTCTGCAGAAAACTGAACGTGTGTGAACTTCTCTAAGGTTCCTGGTCTCTGATTAAATGCTCTGCAGTGTGTATCGTTTACACTTTGACTTAATAAAACACAGTGTGTAATCATATCTGAATGACGCACATTTTGCTTCTGTGATGCTCATTTAAATACGCTTGAATTACTGTATATGACAGTCAGTTATAAAGCAAAATAAAAGGTTTTGTAATAGTTTAGGCATTTGTTATTAACAGGTTCACTTTAAAAGGTTTTATATTAAAAATGACATTAAATTGGCTTTAAACATCAATTTGGCTGATGAAACTAAAGAAAATTTGTGTTGTGAGACATCTTAGGACTGAATGTTATTTTGTTGATTTCATACGTTGGTGTAAATATTTGTTTGTTTTATGCATCAGTACACGAAATAAACTTTCTCAATTTTAAAGCTGCCTCTTCTATGTTTGGGGAGTAAATCAACAGGAGGGTTGTAAATATTCGCCTAAAATGACAGGTGGCTGTTGTCACTGTTTGCTGTAGACCTGTTTACAATATAAAAGATAATAAAAAGCACAATAAAGACCATCTACAAAAGTTAGAAAAAAACTGGTTAGTACAAAAGACATGGGTTGAAATTTTTAAGTTTCTTTAATATATGTAACAAAAAAATAGAATTACTGTATTTTAAAAGTACATGAAAATAAGGGAGAGCATGTATGGA